AATTTAAGATATTTATAGAGAACAAAGATATATTTAACTCTTTAATATATAAAGTGTTTTACATATTACTTAATATTTTTATGTAATGTAGAATTTTTTTTTTTTGACAATGATGTAATGTAGAACTTCAGAAACAAAATTTAATTATCTTTTTCAATTTTCATTTGTCAAAAAGAAATTGAGGTAAACAATTAAGAAGTTTATAGACAAAAGTGTCGTTCAATATTTGTTTAATAACTTAACCGTCTAGGACACTATCTCTAGACGCCTCTAATTTAAAGTGAAGCAGCATTGGGATAGTGCTAGAAAGACTGAGTTGTCATTGAAGTTTGAATTCATGACTAGAAATAATTAAGTTGCTAGAGAGTACCACATGACGGAGCCCCATCTCATCAACTATATGAAAAGGGTACCTGATTTATCGAACATTTCAAATCTTTTGAAATAACATATGTGCTCAATAAACAAACTTTATGGTTGACCTTCTCTCCAAACTCGCCACCACAAAAAGAGTAGGATATAACCACACTATAGTTCAAGAGACTTGTCACCACTAGTATCGATGCAAATGAAACCAATACTCTTGAAGTCTTCGGATGAAACCCATTATACGCTATCTGCAATCAGACGAACTTCCCTGGATAACTTAGAGGCGAAGAAAATTCACAAATGTGTAGAAAAGTACACCATGATGTCAGGAAAAACTTACAAAATGGGAAGGTTTTCCCTATATGCTAAGATGTCTAAAAGAATATGACATGTCAGTAGCCCTTACAAAGGTGCATTAGGGGGCTTACGGTAGTCACATTGGTGGATGAGCCCTGGCCCATAAACTGCTAAAGGTGGGTTACTCTTGGCCCACTTAAATGAAAGACAATTTGACATTCATCGAGAAATGCGACAATAATAGAAGCACGACAATATGAATCATGCACCAGCGGAACTCCCCCCTTATATCATGTTATCTTGGTCATTCTACCAGTGGGGAGTGGCATTTTAGGTCCTTTTCCCCTTGCGCTTGGCCAACTAAAGTTTTTGATCATTGGAGTAAACTATTTCATAAATTGGATAAAAGTTAAAGTCGTCTCCAAGATCACAATAGAAAAAATTCGTTATTTCTACTGGTAGTGGATTAAGCGAAGGTTTTGTTTTCCAGGAGTTATCATTTTGGAAAATGGTACACAATTCTCCAACTCTATTGTGGTCGATTTTCGTCATGATCTAGGAGTACAAAAGAAGTTTATTCCCGTTCTCCATCGATAGTCAAATAGGAAAGCTAATTCCTCAAACAATGTGATATTAGGGGAAGTAAAGAAGAAGTTAGATGAATCCAAAGGAATCTTTGTTGAACAACTTCAGGAAGTGTTATGGTCATATCCTACCACCCCTTATTCAACCACTAAAAAGGCTTAATTCATAATGGTATACGGCGTGGACGTCATGCTTCCCGTTGAAATTGAGATGCCCACTTGGTGGTGCTCTCAGTTAAATATGGAAGAAAACACAGCTAGGCTAAGATGCGTAGCCAACCTAATTGACGAGACGCTAGATGTTGCCCACATAACAAAATTATCCGCCAAACAAAGGGCGACCAGAAGGTATAATTCGAAGGTAGTCCCGAGGGAAATACAAAGGGTGACCTAGTACTTCGATGGGTGGTTGTGCCCACCCAACAGGGGAAACTATAACCCAACTAGGAATGGCCATACCACATATGTCATAAACTACCTCATGGAGCCTACAAGCTCGAAGAGCTGAACGGTCGACTCATCCTAAGGACATGGAGCTAAGTTAACTTAAGATGTTACTATAGTTAGTTATTTTTTGATTATTTGTTTATCTACGAAATGAGGTTGTCTAGCCAAGGTACAAATCTGTTTGAAAAATTTATTGTCTTCGTATTTACAACAAGTTATTTTATTCCTCAGTAAATACAAATGTTATACTTCTACAGGAAGATCCTTGTCTTCCTCTAATATTCGTATAATCAAACATAAGTATTTTTGTGTATAGTATCCATAGGGACTAGTGCGATATTACTATCATTCAACAATTAATATGATTTTAAGTGAGGTGATTGTAAGATATTTGTTTGCTTAAATTAAAGGAATGTAACAACGGTAAATGATAAGAAAATTAACAAAGATATGAGCTTGCTGGGATTAGATTTAATTAAACTATTCCACATGTACCTTCTTGATCAGTTAGATAGATCTTATATATTAATCAATATTATCATGTATCGCTTAACAAACCTTTTTTTATGTTGAAACAATGATGTGGTTTCAACCATATTGCTTAATTGACAATCTCTCAGCGTATTGAAAAATATGATAGCATTAATAATTAATACATTATTGAATGGTTAACCCAAATCTATCTCTAGAGTTTAGCATTTAACAGATGATTATCCTAAATCTAAATTCAAAAGGTATTTCTCAATAACAATTCAAATCCCTAAATCTAAACATTGAAAACAAGGATAACATCAATATTAATGAATAACTAGTTCATGTATAACATCATGGTAAACATAGATACATACGAGTACGAATAATTACATCTAATCTCAATAAGAGAGTGATATTTAGCTACTCATTGTCATGATAGCTTTGCACAAATGAGAAGAAAAGGGATGAATTAACATCAACATTGATTTCTCAACTATTATTGTATATCCACCTTGAATTCTTCTTGTTTTGGATCTCTCGTGTTTCTCTCTGTATTTTTGTCTTGGGAAATGTAAAAGTATCCCTTTTCTGTTTTTGAATGGTATTTATACTTGTCCTAAAAACATCAGCTCGTTTAGCCAACTAGTTTTTCTTCATCATGAAGTTTTTTGACACGTCGTCTTTAAATCGCCTTGCCTCGCTTAGCCACAAATAGCTCGCTTATCCAACTCTCTCGCTTTAACCTCGCTAATCTTTGATAAGAGAAACTATTGATTTGGGATTTTTTGCATATTCTGCCTGGTATCGCTTTGACCTCGCTAAGCGAGCGCGTGGTTTTTGCAAAATTAAGAGTTTCTGCCTGGCCTCGCTTTTGCGTGGCTAAGCGAGAGTGTTGCTTTTGCACAAGTTTGACTTTTTATTTACTCTCTCCCTTGGCTCACTTTGTCACTCACCTTGAGCTCGCTAGGCGAGGTTGCTGAAACTTACTTCCTTGCTTTATTGGACTAATCTTCCCGACTTGCAGAAACACCTACAAAATTGGTTGGAATTAGGTGAAAAATGTAGAAACTAACTATTTTCCTAATAAAACTAGTATTTACACTATAGTTATGAGTTTTGATAAGAAAAACTTATGAAACAAGTTAATAAGTTCCTTCATTCAATGTGTACATTTACCATATTTTGACACTTATCAACGTTAAAGAATAGTCTAAGTGTTGGACTTCCACTAGAAGATCTTTGTCGCTCTAAGTGGGTAATGCAAATTCTAGACTTCCATTGAAAGATCATTGTTGCCCTTAAAAGGAAATCTAAATGTAGGACTTCTACTGAAAGTTTCTTGTCACTCTTAAGGGTAATACATATACTAAACCTCCATAAGAGAATCCGTGTGGAGCATAAAACAACAACTCAACTCACAGTCTCTCCTGAGGGACTAAACTTAAATTCTTGTATGAGAGTCTTAACTTAAATTCTCGTCTGAAGAGTTTCAAATAAGGAAAACAAGATAAATCACTTCATACTTCTTAAAGACTTCGTGCTTGAGAGACTATGTATCAGTATGAGTGCAAATGTCCCCTTAAGAGAGGGCACTAAAATTCTCTTAGGATAGGAAATTTAGCATGTTGCTCTTGTGAGAGACTCCCTGACCGCCCATTTATAAGGATGGACACCCATATCTTGATTATGTCGTCCATTTCCTCGTTCATTTGTGAGAACTCTTGAAGTGACTTGTCTCGATCCATAATAGTATATGAAAGAGAGTCAAAAGGGGAAAATCGAGTTCTTCTGAATAATATGGGAATTGACTTCCCACTTCTTACAGTTTTGAGAGCGATTACTACTCTCTTAGAGCCTAAAGTCCAAGCCCAATGATTTCTCATAAATAAGTAAATTTTAAAGTTGAGAAGGACATTCAATTCACACACAAAATACCACATGTAAAACTTCTTACCATTCGTGCGTGAGCTTGTTCTAACATCACAAAACCTTTAAAAACTTGTGACCGTCCTACACCGTAAATGGTAGTCATGTATTGTACTTTTAACAAGTATTTATAAGTATTTTAAAAATGTATTTCATAAATTTTTATAAACTTATTGATAAAATTGTATAATTAACTAAGTTTTATAGTATAAAATAAAATAAACTGAAATCAAGTGACTTATTATCAAAAGAGGAGTGTTATTTTAAACACTTAATATTTGACATCGTATCTACACCGTATATTAATGTCTTTATCTCTCTTACTTTTTTATTATATACACTTACACAAATTTCAATAATAAACTATTATACCTAAAAATTACACTCGACATATTTTTAACACTCAAATCTAATATAAATATATAAACTCCAAAGTACATGGTAATGACACTATTAACATTTTGATTAAAAATTTTAATTTAAGTAATCATAAAGGTAAAATAGGTTTTTTGAACTACTCATGTCACCACATTGTTTTGGAATTTAATGTCACTGATGCGTCATACCCATAATTTTTGTAACATTTTATATTTTTTTAATTTCATAATTATTTTAATCTATTCATTCAAGAATAAGAGATTATAACATTTTTTAACTTGAAAACTGAAAAGGCACATGCCTTTTTTGAACTTGAAAATTTAAAAGGCACAAGGTTTACAACTCAAGTCACCCTTTGCCAAGATTCACACAATTTAATTTCCAGTCAACCATACTAATAAGCTTTCATAACATGTATAACTCTGAAATTGAGATTTGTATTTATTTATTTTCCGACTGCCAAACACTAGTGCTGCAATCACTCGCGTGCTTCAACAGCGACCATGCGAAGAAGAGAGACGGAAGATGATGGCCTCGCCTTCATCAAAGCAACATCTATTCCTATCTCAAAATCAAAATAAGGGTTATAATTTCAATTTGCTTCTCTCTGAAATCTTAACCTTTTCATCTAACTATCTTTATTCGCTGTTGTCGATGGTTCTAAAGGCTCCGCTGACGGAATTCAAGGTAAATCTTCTTCTGTCACTTCAATATGTACTTGATTTAGGTGGTGAGGTTGGAAAGACGAAAATAGAATCTGATGTTGAATCTGGAGGATGAACGTATTATTCAGTTTCTATTGTAAACTATTATTCTGTTAATTCGTATTTCAAAGACTGAGTTTGTTGGTATGGTTACTAAGCTTATGATTATAGATTCTATTTTTTTAGACTTTTCTGTGCTTATCTGAACTATATGATTATGTTAAGTTGATTAAATTAGGTATTAGGGATTTTTTAACTACTGAGATTGTTGATTTCTTAGGGATTTTGATACTGAGATTTTGGTTACAACATGTATCTTCCCCATTCACTTACAGGTTGGCCTTACCTTAGAAAAAGTTGGGAATGAAGTTATGAGCACTGCTGCCAAGGTAGTTCTAACCAAATATACAACCACAATCATTGATGATTCAAGTACCTGGGTAGTCGTTACCAAGAGTAAGAATCTAAGCAACGATGCAAACGAAAGAATATTTGGATTCAATGTAAAACAAACTAACAAATTGGATAAGAACGTATTTGCCATCATTTCAGACCCTGATATTCTCGATTGCTTCATTTGTTTGGAGTCATTGACAATTCCTATATTCCATGTATCATGTATCATGTATCAAGTGCTTTTTGCTTATATTAAATGTTTTATGTATTTGGAAAAGGGGTAGCCTTGGTTCAACAGTAAGGTTGTTCCATTGCGACCCTGGGGTCATGGTTTTGAACGGATCTAATATTTTTTCTATATTTTTAATGTGTTTGACATGCTTACAGCTTGAAGATGATAAATGTTCTCAAAAGATTCATTCTGGTAGCAGTAACGTTTAACAGAATCAGGATAAACTTTGCTCCACTATTGAACATGGCCTCAACCCTGATGGTTTTCTGATTCACCTGAATATGAGAAGAAGCGATCTTTTGTTTCCTTATATAATATATGATAGTGATAAAATACATGTCAATGAGGCTACTGATGAATTGACTTCTTGTGTTGATCATGAAGGGTCAAAGATGCATGGTCCTGAAAGTCTATTATCAACCATAAAGGTAAAAATATTGTTGCAATTTTATTGACTTGATTTTATGATTTATGTTATTTCTTTTCTCAATAGTTGGTTTCTCTTCACCGACGCTCAATTCCTTGCATACACCAAGTCATCATCATCGATTGTTATTGTTTCAACGAGTTAGGTTTTGTTGAATAGCTGATTTTCGATCACAAGGTTCTATTTCCTTTTCTGTTTTTTGAATTCAATGATTATGGCACAATTTGTTGTCTGCATATCATCCATTCTTAAATACACAAGCTGAATTTGAAATTTTTAGGTGTTTAGTGACATTACAATCTATAATCAATGTATTTACAGTATTTGTTTTATTTATTTCCAATTAATATCAATTTGTGATGGGTGGAAGGTCTGTTGTTTCCGTTGATGACTTGGAGTTTGATTCCTCGCCTAATAATGTCAAGACATTGGTTTTGTTTGGGCGAACTGACAATGGCAAGAGTGCAACCGATAACACTATTCTTGAAAAAAAGGTTTTCAAGTCAAAGACAAGCTCCTCCAGTGTCACCGCCTCGTGTGAAATAAAGAGAGCTGTGATGAATGATGGACAAGTCATTAATGTTATTGACAGTGCATATATATATATATATATATATATATATATATATATATATATATATATATATATATATATATATATATATATATATATATATATATATATATATATATATATATATATATATATATATATATATATATATATATAAAGTTAAATATGGTTTTAATTTCTATATATATTTTCATAAGAATGTCCTGAAACATTCTCCTCATACTGTTTTTGGGATGTCATTAGCATGCATTGTTTTAGGTATGTAGTGTGAGTTATGATTATTAATATTTCGCTTTAACTATTTTTTTCTTCATTGGGTTCACAAGATTATTTGATCTTTCTGCTAAATCTGAATTTGTTGGGGAAGAAATACTCAAATACATTGGTTTAGCTAAGGACGAGATCCATGCCATCATTGTAGCATTATCTATTAAAAATATGCTTTAGTGTCGAAGAAGAAAATGCTATGCGTAGCTTGCAGACATTGTTTGAAAGCAAAATTGTTGACTATATGATTGTGGTCTTTACCAATGGAGATACATTGGAAAACAATGATCTGACGCTAGATGATGATTATTTAGCCTTGAATATCCTGAATCTTTAAAGGTTTGTATTAGTATTATAGCCTTTGAGGTGAAGTTGTTTCTATGGATTTTTGTATGCCAATATAGTTTTTAAAATTAATAATTTCATTGATCTTGAATTAATATTAACATTAATATAGGCAATTATTTCATTCTATGATAATCGATATTTGCTTTTCGATAACATTACAAAGAATAAAGAGAAAAATTCAAACAAGTTCAACAACTGCTCACTTTGGTAAACCAGGCAGTATCAAAGAATGGTGGTCGGCCTTATATGAATGAGTTATTTACCGAATTCAAGGTGAAAGTATTGTAAATTGCAGTCTCAGTTTATAAGTTATGTGTCATATCATGATTATGTCAAAATTGTCAAAATTATCAGGTATAATATGACATGTTCACTTCTGCAGCTTTATGGAAATTTCAGTTAGAAACATGTGGTGCACAGTTGAACAGAAAGATTGAGGCTTTGGCTAAAAGAATTGTCAATATTTCAAAAGTCAATGCTCCATAATGACAATGCTTTGGATGAGCAAATAAGTGTAACCAAGTACCGAATGAAGAACTCCCTATAATTTTAGAAGAGATAAGGGAGAATTGTTGTTCTCCTAATAATGCGACTTATACTATTATGTTACTCGATGTGCATAATAAATTATTTCTTTGAATCGAATCATTTACTATATATAAAAAAATTTGTACTCTATTAATTGACAAAGGATTATGTTTTATTCCTGTCAGTTGTGGTATTGTTTAGTGTTGATTACTGTTTTAAAGGATGAGATTACACTTTCAAAGATTTTGATTTTGAGATAATTATTGTATTAAACTAATAACAATATCCTCTTAATTTATATATATTTTTAATTGTCAATCATTAAATTGTTCTATAATTTTATATTACTTTTTAAAAATTTCAAGTAGTAACTTAAGTTTAGGTATAATTTGATCGTCTTTTATTTTATCATTTTTTAATTATTGTGATTCTTAAATATTCTCTGTAATATTCTAAATTTTATTTTTCTATGATTTCATCATAAATGTATTAACTCTAAAAAACAAAAATGCATATATTAATTAATTTGAATATATTTGATCACTTTATTTTAAAAGTATTTTAAATCTGCTCACAACCTCAATAGAGAAGCAATTGAAATGTCTAATAATAATTATGGATTTATTCATTCCTTGGCAATCAAACTACTTAATAACATTTATTTTGCAGTTGAAAGAAATTTAAAGGTGGAAATCAAGTTATAATAAATTACATTAACATGAGTAATATTTACATAATATGTGAAAATCAATGTGATATATGTCCATTAGAACTTAAAGTGGTATATATCATTTACATAAAAGTTTGTGTATTTTATATATAATATACTATTTAACTCCTAATTTAATATATCATCATTAGATATTATCTACTTTTATTTTATGAATTAAAATAAGAAAATCACTTATCTCCATAATAACATTTTAATCTTAATAAAGGTTAATTAAACAAAAAATTTCATACTCTAATTGTAATTTCCATCTTAACTACTTTCATAATTATTTTTGTTTATTTTATTTTTATTTTTAATCATGTATGTAAGAAAATATATTTATATTTCTCTTATATTATTATTATTATTATAATTAAATCATCATTTATTAGTTTCAATATATATATATATATATATATATATATATATATATATATATATATATATATATATATATATATATATATATATATATATATATATATATATATATATATATATATATATATATATATATATATATATATATATATATATATATATATATATATATATATATATATATATATATATATATTAAAAAATATCAATAATTTTAACTATTTTAAATTATTTATTGTTCTTTCAAAAATAAATTTGTACATTCTTACGTGTAATTTAATATTTTGGTCTCTATTTCTTCTTTAGAAACCAATTCAAAATCAAAACTTATATGTTAAAAAGAAAAGTGCAACCATTACTATTTGCGGGATCATCTTCTCAATTGTGATGAGACCGACTTTATACACTCTGCATCTAAAAGTTTATGACAATGACGATGGATATGCACTTGAAGCAAAAACAATAAATATTTATTTATTATGGACTTTGGTTCTTACTGTCACCTGCTATTGATTCAACTTCAACTTCTTCTTTGATAGAACGGATTATTGTTTCAGCTTTCAAAATTGACAAAGTGGACAAATTATTGTTTTTGGAAGAGATTTTAAACAGAATCTTACTGCTGTTCCAAGAGGGAGGTCGTTCAGATATAATCCATGTTATTGAGACAACCATTCTTGAAACAATGTTCAAATGTTCAGAAACGGAAAAAAGTTGAACTATATTTATTTAAATCAAACAATGTTGGCAAATGACATTTCCTTTTTCTTTTATGCTACAATTTTAATCTTTATCTTTTAAATCTTTCTTTTGTTGTTGTTTTATATAATTGATTTTAGAGAATCGAATGTACGATTGATTTTAAATTTGTAAAAATGTGAATGTTAACTAACTAAAAAATGAATTCAAACTTAACAAATGAGTGAACGACATGTAATGTGTAATAAAACAGGTAGATGTGAACGTCATACTAATTGTAGATTATCCATTTTAATGTTTATTTCTAAATATTTTTTCTATTGTTGTTTATATAATTGAAGTTAGAGAATTTATTCTACAATTTATTATAAATGTAAATCAATACTAAAAAATTAATACATATTAACCTATTTTTATGAATTCAAACCGAACCCGTAAGATAAGAGTTCCTTCCTCTAAGATGATTGTTAAAATATGATTTTCTAGGAGAAGTTAAATAAAATGGCGGTAGTACCCAAACAGTTTTTTATTTGTTAAGTTACACACCAAAACGATATTTTTGGTTTACAAACCGCCTATAAAAAGTAACAAAACTGTAAAATCACCGTCTATCTTTGTCCTGTTTCTTCCATAGAAAGAGGGTTTTTGCAGGGTTTACAATTAATCTTATCACCATTCACTCTTCCTTAAACAATGGGTTCTTTGGAGAATGGAACACCCAAACCAAGAGATGAAGAAGAACCAATACTAATGAAACAAACTCAGAGGTTCTGTATGTTTCCAATTCGATACAAACAACTCTGGGAGATGTACAAAAAGGCTGAAGCCAGTTTCTGGACCGGTACCTACCTACCACTCTTCGATTACTTTACCCTAATTCAACCATACACTTGATAACTTTCACGCTATTTTCTTTCTTTTCTGAAATCCTCTGTTTTTTTTCTTCATAATTTTTCTTCATAATGGAGCCCTGTTGTTTTCGTGTGATTGATTGGAAGCTTAGTCTCTACTTTGATCATTCAGTTTTAATAACTTTGAAGTTGGTTGACAGCCGAAGAAGTAGATCTCTCCTATGATGTACATCATTGGGCAACCTTGTCAGACTCCGAGAAGCACTTCATATCACACGTCCTTGCTTTTTTTGCAACATCTGATGGAATCGTTTTGGAGAATTTGGCTGCAAGGTTTCTGAATGACGTTCAAATCCCGGAGGTAGTGTTTTAACCTTTTCTATTATGTTCTATTTGAAGCATTGCATTATCAACTATGCCTCAGTTTACCAGTTAGTTTCACATACTACTTGCTTTGGCTGCTGTTGGATAAATACAAGAGTGAGTAGTGGAATCTGATGTTGTACACATTTTTAAACATTGACTATTTTTATTGGCAGGCTCGGGCATTCTACGGGTTTCAGATAGCAATCGAGAATATTCATTCTGGTATACCTTAGTATTTACGCTCTCTTCTGTTCCCTAGCATGATATTTGCTCGCTACCTGATTTGAGGATCTACTTTTGTCAGAGATGTATAGTTTGCTGTTGGAGACATATATTAAAGATTCAGTCGAGAAGCATAAATTGTTCAATGCAATTGAAAATCTTCCTTGTGTTGCAAGGAAGGCTGAATGGGCATTGAGTTGGATTAACAGGTAACCGTTACTCACAATTTCACTACAAACTTCTAGATAGAAAATTTTTTCTTGATCCGTTTAGCATAGTTTAATGAGGATATACAGAATTTTCACTGTGAATGACTTTTCTGATTTTTTATATTAAACATCCATTTACTCCATCTTTTTGTGAGTTCTGGTTATAAACCATCAAGTTTAATACCTTTTAGGTTCTGTCACATTTAGCACCTTTATCTTTTAAAAGGTACATAGAAATTGCTTTCTAATAACTTCTCGTAATGCATGGATTACAGTTCCACTTCATTTGCGGAGAGGCTTGTTGGTTTTGCATGTGTTGAAGGGATATTTTTCTCAGGAAGGTAATTATCTCTCTAGAACAAAAAAGCTTATAGAACTTCCCTCGTTTTTTTTTTACGAGAGTTGTAGTAACTAGTCTTGTTTCATTTACTTAAGTTTTTCTTCTTCTTTTTCAATTGTGGTTTGCTTTCAGCTTCTGTGCCATATTCTGGCTTAAAAAGAGAGGACTAATGCCAGGTCTGACATTCTCAAATGAACTAATCTCTAGAGACGAGGGTCTTCACTGTGATTTTGCTTGCATGCTATACAGGTAGTGTTGGTGGAATTTTTAACTCATTGGTCTAAATAAATGAAGTTGTATAAGCAAATATTGTTTTGGATTGATTCAATGGATTGCAATTGCCTGCAGCTTGTTACTGAGAAAGCTAGACTACGAGCGGGTTCATAATATTGTACACGAAGCTGTTGAAATTGAGACCGAGTTTGTCTGTGATGCACTCCCTTGTGCTTTGATTGGCATGAACTCAAAGCTTATGAGCCAGTACATAAAATTTGTTGCTGACAGGCTATTGGTATGACGATAAATTATTTTCGTTTTACCTCAGTTATATGGGAATAAGAAGTTCTTCTCCCAAAGATTGGTTACCCAGTTTTATTTTCTTTTCGCCCTTTCAGGTTTCCTTGGGTTGCACAAAAAATTACGAAGTGGAAAATCCCTTTGATTGGATGGAGTTTATTTCTCTGCAGTGAGTATTTCTATTTCATTGATACAATTTATTCCACTACTTCTAGTTAAAACACACAACACAATGGCTTATATGAATAAACACTCTTAAGTAGCTTTTGAATAAGCATTTTGTTTATCGAAAACACATAACACAACTGCTTATATGGCATAATGCGACATGATTGCGCAGAGGAAAGGCCAACTTTTTTGAGAGAAGGGTTGGTGATTATCAGAAGGCATCTGTGATGTCAAGCCTCCAAGATGATGGGAAGAACTTTGTTTTCAAGCTTGATGAGGACTTCTAAGTTCTAATCATGATTGTTAAGTTACAGCTTCAAGTATTATTTATAGGATGATGAAAATGAATCAGAGATCAAGTTACAGATTAGCCTACACATATATAGGTAATTCCAAGCTGGTATTTCAATTAGTACACATGTATAATATTTATTTGTTCTGTAGTTTAATTTAATTTAATGGTATTGGCATGAATTGTAAGTTCCTACACAAAAACTATACATATAATCTCCTTTTCTTCATTGTTGTGTAAAAGAAGCAATAATTGTTAGCACTGTAGGACACTCCCTACCAGCCTGTGGCTTTTTTTTCCTCTGATTTCAAACTAAAAAAAGAACAAAACTCCAACAATTGAAATGCCATGTCCCTTTGTGTCATTCTCATTGGCGTAAGTGATTGAAATTTCATCTTGCCAATTAAACTAGGACCCATTGTATAGCTACAAGGTGTATATCAGTTCAGTAGACTAGTTCAATATGTCCACAAAGATTAGCTATTTTTGATAGGGAATCTTGTCTTCATTATAATGTCTACAGGTATAGCTTGTGTTTTTTATTTTTTAAACTGAGACATTATTTGACAAGCTTGTAAGTTGTAAGTTCTAATGTGTTTTGGATTGGACATCACTAGAGCATGTTCAACTCCCTGTTGAAAAGCTCAAGGGAGTGTTGGGAGCAACATCGGATCGATGATATAAAATTATCGAGAGAGTCTAACATATCTGTTTCCAAAATCTTAAAAGTATTAAAAATATGATTTTTTTTCTTATTATTAGACATGACAAAAAAAATCTGAATGTGAATCCGGTCAACTCCGGCCATTCCATCTCAAATCTAATGGAGAAATTGATTTCTAATTACAGGAGTGGAGTTAGGGGATGTTAATATTCATCCTTGACCTATTAAATTTACTTTATTACATTTATTTTTAATAATTTTATTCCTTATTTATCCTTTTAATCTTATTTATGTTTATTATAATTATTATTTATTTTTATAAATAAAAAAATTAAATAAAAATGACTAAGTATTATGATTATTATTAAAACGATCGGTATTTGTTTGATTATTGATTTTTATTGTTATGAGAAAAAATATGTACATTTTATTAATTAAAGTTATTAAGTCTCTTAAAAAATTTTATAGAGTCAAAATTAAAGTTGATTTAGTAATTATAAATATTTATTTATTATTTATTTATTTATTATTAATTAAAATCACTCATTCTCATAATTTAAAGATTTATTTTATATTTTATGGAGAATACTTAGATATAATTTTCATACTTTTCTCCAATAAAAATATGACAAATATATTTAAATATGTTTTAAGGAATAAAAATATGAAGAAATTACATATATGTGAGAGAAAATTACACACTTATTATATTTTTATTAGAAAAAAATATAAATCACATCTAACGAAATACATCTAGTTTTTTTTTTATATTTTAATTATTATTAACTAAAATCACTCATTTTCATAATTTAAAATTTGATTTGTTTATTAATTTTTTAAAATTATGGAGAACTTATTTATTTATTTATTTCTTGAAATTGTGAATTTGAAAAACTATCATTTCAATATTTTAAAATTTAAATATTTTGTGGCACGAGTCATCTTCACAATTTATTTTATTAATTACTATTTATTTTATTTATTATTAATTAAAATCACTCATTTTCATAATTTAAAGATTTATTTATTTATTTATTAGAAGTTTAAATTTGAAAAATCATCATTTTACCTCCAATATTTTAAGTCTTTATTTATGATCTAACCTGATCAGACTTGGACCGTCACGGCTGGTTCCGAGCTGAAAGTTTTGAACGAGGTGGGAGGGGTACCTGCAAGACACTCCGATGCTGAAGTAAGTAAGAGCACGAGCAGGCAATAGTAAGTATGGGTAGAATGATGAATACCTGACCCTCTGGAAACAGAGGGTATTTATAGCCCCCATCGCTGGGCCAAGGTTCCTTCATTGGGCCGGGCAGGTTTGGCCCAATGGAGGAACTGCCAGGTTCTACGTGCGTAGTGGGGACCCGTACGTGGTCCCCTCCCTGGATGTTCTGCGTGAAGTGCGGGCGGACAGAGACGCGGTCTTTTCGGGGTCTCGTTGGCAGTGCAGTGGACTGAGTCTGCCCTAGTTGGAGTGCTCGAGGTGATGTCGAGCTGGACAGTAGGATGTCGAGCTAGACAGTTGGAGGTCGAGCAAGTAGCCTCAGGGAGTACGTCGGGCACGACTGTGACCCTTTGGTCGGCGTGGCCCTTAGCAAGTCCGTTTGGATTGGGCCTTATCAATGTTATTGGGTCTGTCGGGCCCAGTTCAGAACAGGAGCCCCCCAAGTCGTGGTTCCTTGGGTTAGGAGCCATGGCTTGATCTTAGGTTGTTTCCATTTGGGGTCTCGCGCCCGGGTCAGAGATGCAGCGCCTCGAGGGCTTCTCCGTGTCGTGCTCGGAGACAAATCCTTCGCGGTGGATGCTCGGGGATTCCTCACCGGCCCGCGTCTGTCGAGCACACGAGGTATCTTTCGGGAACTGTGCTGCCACCCTATGAGGATAGGGTCATTATTGCCTTGGGAGTCGTGCGTCGAGGAGAGAAACTCTGTGGTTGCCCGAGGTGACGTTTGGTATTCCACGTCATCACTATAAATAGGATCCTTGGGCCCCATAACGCGTTACTACTCTTTGCGCTCCTGCTGCTGTTGTTCTTCCAGATTTTCATAGCATAGCTGCGATTCCCGTCACAGATTCCTTTCCTCCGTTGCCGAATCCACTCCTTGATTCCAAGTAAGTGACTTATCTTCTTTGTTTTCCTGTTGTGATGCATGATTTTCATCGTTGTAGACGTTTTAGGGACTGTGCGCGTGGGACTAGCCCGGTAAATTCATGTTTAGCTCGACAAATTCATGTTTAGGACCGACAAACACACGCTCGTGGTCGGTAGATACATGGTTTAGGTTATAATCTGCAGTGCTGCTCGGGGTCTTCATGATCCAGGGCGCCTGATTCATGATCGTGCCCGGTATGTTCATGGCTCTGGCTGTAGGTTTTATGATGTTGCTCGCCATGTTCATACCTTGGGTCGGCATGTTCGTGAGTGACCGCGTTGTCGGTTTGCTTAGGCGGCTTGGAGAAGGTCTCGTCGAGTTGTCCGGACGTCGGGGAGGCGACTGCTATTTTGTTTCAAACTAACTTTATGGTCGCGCGTGGAGCGACGTGGTTTGTCGCACACTACATCTGGTCCGTTGCGTCGAGCGTATGGTTTCGTGCCCAATTGACTGGTTTCCCGTGCCCTGCAAGTAACCATGGCGGACGAGTCGTGCTCTTCTGGACGCCCCGAACGGGAGGAACAAAGTGCCGATGAGGTGGTGAGTTTGATCGACACTGTCGACGACCCTCTGTTGGACTGGGTGGGCGCCGAGCCCAGAGGGATCGCTTCGATCTATAGCCGGCGTAATCGAAAGCCATATGCTGTCCTTGAGGCGAGCCATGGTCAGCCTGATTTTCAAAAGAATTTCGTTGTTACGCGACCGACCTCCATTGCTCGGATCTGCTCGGTGTACCCCGAGTATAGTTTCCCCATGTACGAGATTGCGTTCAAAGACCTTGGGCTGCAGCTGCCCTTCAATGACTTTCAGGCCGGGGTCTTCCCCCATTTGGGGCTGGCCCCGTCGCAGCTACACTCGAACTCGCTCGCCTTTATCCGGGCGTTTGAGCTGACATGTCGCTTTCTGAGGGTTGAGGCGACTATACCTCTCTTCTTCAGAATCTTTCATCTGCAGCGCCAATCCCGGGGAGGGAAGCACAACTACCACTACTATCTCATTTAGCGGTCATTAACTTCTTTTTCATTCTATACTCATTTTGTGTATTTTGTGTTTTATATATTCTTTATTGTGTTTCATAATAGTTTAGAAGTTTGTTTTTCAAATTATATTATTCTTAATTTTGACTATATTTTTTAAATATAAATTTTGACATCACAAAATATATTTTTTATAAAAAAAATATTGTTGGAAAAATTAAATTGTGGGAGAAGGTAGCTTAAAAACTCTTATTTTTTTTGTTACTTTTATTATTCTTATTTTTTACACTTTAAAATTATAAATATTTTTATTAATGTTTTCATCTCAAATATAAATAAAAGTTAATCAAATATAAATCACAGTCTTAATCATTAACATGTGCAGTAAACTATAGTATTAGATTTCAAATTTTTAGGGGTTTAATTTTTTTTATTATTACATTGAAAAATATTTTAAAAAAACATACAACATCAAAAGCATAAATTTGAGATCACCATTTAAAAATAATATTTTGGAGATACTCTAATATAAATATTTAATTGATAAATTTGCTTTGAAAATGTATTTAGTTCATGAATTTTCTTCAATAGTGTTCGGTGAAAGACTATTTTTAAATATTTAGAAACTTTAAGTTATATGAAATGATATTTATTTATATAATAATTAGTTTTTTAGTGCTTCATTTATTAAATATATAATTGTATTTTTGGGGCTTATTTTCAATTATTAAAATTGTATTATTAAAAAAATAATTATATATATATTTTTTAAACTAGAATCGAATATCTGAGCTGATTGGACCGACCATAATAATTGATATATTTAGTTGTCAATTACACAATAATTCTTATAAAAAAAGTGATGGTATTAAATCATCTCAATATTATGTGACATACTTTGTAAAGAGTTACAAATTAATTTTATTTTCTTAACTTATAAATTATCTCATTAAAATCTACAATTTTCATCGTTACTTTCTATTATCATTTATGAGTTTTATTTTTGTTTTTCTTCTATTTTAACTTCACAACCCTATCTCCTTTCTAATCCACAAATGATTTATTTAACTTATTAATTATTTTCATGTGATTTTTGTTTGAAGTAGTCAGACCATGGAAAGAAAATTAATGGTTTTCTCTTTGATAACTTTGATATTTTTATGTGTAACTATCTAATCATCGTCGTTTTTTATTAAAATAA